CGCCATGTGACTGTAGTTAGCACCACGGAAAGGCACACTCAGAAGTGGTTAGGGTGGTGACTTTCAGGTTATGTACGTGGCTTTGCCACAGTTTTTAAAAATGTAATGTTTTCTTCACAGCCAAGGTGTACAAAACTGAGTAACTTTAAAGGAAAAGTGTAAGCATCGGGCGGGGGTCCCTGCTCTGCACATGACGGTCACATTTTCTTGTTACTGCTCTCAAACGTGACCACCACACCCCAACCCCCGTCTTTATCCCGGGAACAAACTTGGGTAAAGGTGGGGTGCCATCCCCTTCCTTCCTGCACGCCCCCCGTCTCAGTCTGAGACCTGACGCCCTGTGGTCTTGGTCCCCCAGGGGGCGCAGGTGGCCATGGGCCCCTTCCAGCCGTCCTGTCTGCTGCCCGCCTGCCGGGATTACTGGACCTACCCGGGGTCCCTCACCACCCCTCCGCTAACCGAGTCAGTCACCTGGATCATCTTGAAGGAGCCCGTCCAAGTGGCTCGGAACCAGGTGAGTTGTGCCTGACCCAGCATAGCAGGAGGCACTGAACGAACCCACCCCTCTCACTCTGTGTCCCCAAGACGCTGTGAGTGAGTGTCGTGGGTTTTATTCTCTGGTGTGTGTGTGTGTGTGTGTGTGTGTGTGTGTGTTAATGTTTATTTTTGAGAGAGAGAGACAGAGAAAGACAGAGCGTGAGCAGGGGAGGGGCAGGGAGAGAGGGAGACACAGAATCCAAAGCAGCTCCAGGCTCCAAGCCGTCAGCACAGAGCCCGACGCGGGGCTCGAGCCCATGAACGGCGAGATCATGACCTGAGCTGACTGAGCCCCCCAGGCATCCCTCTCTGGTGTGTTTTGGATATTCTCCCACAAGAAGAATTTTCTGACTGAAACAGAAGTCAGTTTAGATTGAACAGGGGTTCCGTTCTTCTGAGCCCGAGATAATAGTGTGGGAAGAGACGGGGTGGAGATCGAGAGGCAGGGAGAGAGAGGGAGGGACTACACATAAGGAAATGCTTTTTGGCTCTACCTGATCTCTAGCGGTCTCGAATTCTGATGTGGAGAATATCCCTGATGACGAATGGTTGAGTGGGCTCAAGGCTTGCTCTTCAGTATCTTGGGCTGAAGTCACTTTACAGGAACGGAAGCGACATTGTAATTGGGACCTGGGTCCTCGCCCCTAATGGGACCTCAGTAGGTATTTTCGGGTGAACACATTAACCAAGAAAGGAATGTCATCGATGAATTTTGCAAAGCCGTTCAAGAAGAGGGGTCCTTGAAGGAGAAGAGAAGATTTTAGGGTTCATCCTGCTCCCTTGGATGTCAGAAGAGTAAACAGTGGAGACTGCAGAACTTTCTCTCACCTAAAGACGTTATATACGCTGGGAGAAAATTCCGCAAGGACTACATCAGTCAGCTATTGCTACAATAATGCTGCGTAACAAAGCGCCCCAAAACTCAATGGCTCAAAACAAGCATTTACTTTTCCTGCGTGCAGGTGGTGGGTTGGCCGGGGAGACTCTGTCTTAGGCTGTGGATGGCAGGGTGGTTGGGGTCTGGGTCGGGCCCAGTGTGTCTCATGCTCCCTGGGCCGGTGGCTCCCCAGAGCCGGTCTCCATGGTCCGGACAGACACACGGAAGACAAGCACACGACCGGGGCCAACTGAGGCGCCTGCGGGCATGGCGTCTGCTCGTGTCCCGTCGGCCACAGCGGGTCCCAGCGGGCAAGGCTGAAGCGGGCGGGGCAGGGAGGAGGTGAGTGAGCGCCCAGGGCAGTGTCCGGTCTCCCACAGATCCGCCCACACAGTTAATACTGGCTGCCCCAGCATTTCTGCAGCGCGTTCACTTTCTTCCTGTTCCTTTCTCAGCGTTCTTTCCACCCCCCAAAGTAAGTAGATAGATATCACCTGCTTCCATTTTAAAAAGCAGAGTGTTTTTTCCTCTGGAAATCTCCCGAGTGTGGAGACAGGCTGTCTGTGTCGGGCCACCCGGAGCCTGGGGACGACAGATCTGCAGCGAGCTCGCTGCCCCGGCCCCCGCCCCGCCTCGCCAGTCACGCGCACTCTTCCTGAGGCTCCGGCCTTGCGATTCTGTGACTGTCGTCTCACACGAAGGTCCTGGAAGGATGCCGTCTGCCGTGGGGAGCAGAAGTATCCACTCTTCTCCCAAACCAGAACCGTCAGAGACACAAGGAGGACCCTGGTCGCAAGATGGCCCCGCGTCACCAAGACCCCTTCTGTCACTCAGGGACTGTAGCCGGAGAGGGTAGGACAATGAGGACAGTGCCTGAACACCGCTGTCTGGGGGAAGTAGAAACACGATCGTGCTGTAAGACCAGGCGGGGAACGTCACACACCAACGCAGGATGAGAAGCCCCTCACCCTGACCAGAGGACCTGGCGGGGAGGAGCGTGCACCCCCTGGACGGTGGCAGGAGGTTGCCAGCTGGAGGGGAGGAGGAACACAGTGTGTCTGGGAGAGCCAGCGGGCGTGCCCCGGGTGGGCGCACTTGCCTGAGCGCCTGAGCCCGCGGGATCCGCGCCCCTCGCACCAGGGCGGGGGGTTGCAGGGGGAGGTCACCAGCCAGCTGTCCAGATCGAGCCTGCTCGGTACGCCGTCCCAGCCCCGCTTGTAACTGGACACGCGAGTGATTCTCACCGAGCCCCTGAGTATACTCAGAACAAACGAGATGATAAAGAAATGGACGTTTAGCTCCTTAAGAGAGAAATGACTCTAACGTTACTTTAGCAGTTATGTCATATAGATTAGTATATCTAGTATGTTTGTGAGCATGTGGACCTATTCGCCTATGTGTACCTGCATATCTGTTGCTGTGTAACAGCCCCAAAAGGTGGCGACTCAAGGAAACTATAACCACGATTACCTCTCCGAGTTGCCGTGGGTCAGGACGTGCGGGGTTCCGGCTTGGGCTCGCCCGTGGCGTTGTCGTCAGATGCCGTGGGGGGCTGCCGTCGTCTGAAAGCTTCAGTGGGACTGGAAAGTGGCTCCCTCACGTGGCTGGCAAGGTGGTGCTGTCTATTGGCTGGTGGGGGGGGGGGCCCTCGGCTCCCCTCCCAGGGGGCTGGTTGGGTGTCCTCACAACATGGCGGCCGGCTTCTCCAGAGCAAGGGACGCGAGAGAGCAAGATAGAAGCTGCAGTGCGTCTTCTGAGCCAGCTTGGGAGTCACCTCTGCCGCCTCGTGTTGGTCACGCGGGGCCACCCGGATTCCGTGTGTGGGGGGCGGCTGTGCAAGGCAGGAGGGACGCTCGGGAGCTGGTTCCCGCTGTACCTGCACCCAGCTCACTCTGCTTGCTGTCCGTTCCAGCTGGCCGCCTTTCGCACGCTCCTGTTCTCTGCGCCTGGTGAGGAAGAGAAGGCCATGGTGAACAACTACCGTCCGCTTCAAGCCCTGATGAACCGGAAGGTCCGTTCATCCTTCCGGCCTATGGAAGAGGGCATGAGATTCTAAATGCATTGTATCCGAGTCAGCGGGTAGAACTGACTTTTAAAAGAGGAAGTTCTGTGTCCCAAGCTTCACAGTCTGATCAGACCTAACCTCTGACGTTAAAAAGAGAGAAAGAGATCATTGTCTCAGTCAATGGACTTTTCAGTTGCAAGGAAAAGAAATCACTTCAAAGAAACTTAAGCATGGTGAGGAATGGAAATCTGGGACGCGGGGTATCTTGGGGCCCCGCGGCAGCGCCCTAGCAAGCACCCGCTGACTGAGGTCACCCGCCCAGCCCCTGGCGGTCTGTGCTTTCTTCTCTCTGCTTCTCCTCACTCATGGCCACCCCGTGCTTCCCGGGCGACGCAGAGACGGGGCCCCACATGCATCTTTCCCACCTCCGGATTCCTGGGTTGTGTCAGTGTCCTGGGGCTGCTGCAGCAAATGACCACAAACCGGAGGGGCTAGAACAACAGAAATGTGTAGCCCCTCAGTTCTGGAGGCGAGAAGCCCACATTCCAGGCACGGGCGGGCCTGGCCCACCTCCCAGAAGCTGCCCGTCTTCCTCGGCCCGCAGCCCCGCCTCCACCTTCAGAGCAAGGGCTGTCCTAGGTGGCTGTTCAGCGCCCGCTGCCGCCTCACGGCCTTTCTGGAAGGTATGTAACGGTTTCTCCCTGTGGGGTTTTGGGTTTTGATTGTACTGAAACACAATTACATAAGTGACCGTCTTACCCACATTTAAGCGAACAGTTCTGTGCTGTGCGGTGCCTTCGCGAGGTCGTACAGCCGTCCCCACCACCCGTCCCCGTCTGTACATCTTACAAGACTGGAGCTCTGCCCCTGGGACACACTCCCCCCTCCCCCAGCCCCTGGCAGCCACCGGTCCGGTGTCCGTCCGTCCGTCCGTCCGTCCCTGGGATTTTGATGGCTCCAGGAATAAAGTATAAATGGAATCCTACAGTGTCTGTCCTTCTGTGACCGGCTTCCTTCGCTGAGCGTGATGCCCACAACGTCCACTCGTCTCAAAGCACGTATCGACTGTTCCTTTAGCAGCCTCCTGATCGATAATGGTATTTGTGTTTCCAGAGCATCACAGATATGTCCCTCTGGTGGGGACGCACCTGTGCGGACGGCCCAGTCTCGGCACCCTCCGACACGCCATTGCCGGCAGCTGCGGTGACGCACAGACGGACGGACACGTGCTGGGCCGTCTGCTGAGGTGCGGCCGCAAACTGCGATTCATTTTAGGGAGATAAAGAATAAATAGACTGACGATGGTCCACAAATAGCATCTGAAGTCACAGGGAAGCTATGACACGGATGTGGTTTGTTTTGGCAGAGATGGACATTTCCCCCAACCTCAGAGCTTCCCGTGAAGTTCCGTGCCGCGGGGCCATGGTTTACGGCCTGGTTCGGGCACCCGCCCCAGAGAGAGCAGTCCTACACTCCCTGCCACACGCTCCTCCCTCGTGACGCCCGGGAGGTGCCAGGCAGAGGCGACGGCACGAGGTGGGGCCGTCAGCCTGGGCGCAGAGCTGGATGGGGAGGGGGCAGGGGCGGCTCCGGATGGACGGTCCGGGAGGGAAGAGGACGGTTTGAAGTTTGGTTTGGACCCAACACGCTTCTTGTCTCCCGGGAAGATGTCACCACTCCTGAGTCTTCAGCGAGGTGGACTTTGGCCTGCGGGCGGAGCGTCCCGTGGCTGCCGCACGAGGTGCCACAAAACCACGGGCTCGGTGGCTTCTGACAACGTGCATTTGTCGCCTCACGGTCTGGAGGGCAGAGGTCGGTCGCGGCCACACGGAGCTACGGTCAGGGTGTGGGCAGGTTCCTGCGGGAGGCTCCAGGACGGAGCTGATTCCGGGCTTTCCCAACCGCTGGAGGTGCCCGTGGCCCCTGGCTCGCGGCCCCTCCTCCACCTTCCAAGCTGGACGCTGCCACCAGCCGTCACCACGCCGTCCCTCTGACTTTGGCCCTCCCCCTTACGAGGGCCTTGCGAGTCCCCGGGGCCCACCAGGATCACGCAGACTCTTACCCTCTCGTCTCCAAGTCCCTTTGCCACGTGAAGTCACGTAACCACAGGTCCCGGGGGTTAGCATGAGGACATTATTCAGCCGTCCACGGTGTGTATGCAAAACCACACGGTGGCAACTTCAGCCTAGCAGCCCTGAGACTGGTCTCCTCTGGAGGGGAGGGGAGGGGACGGATTGGGAAAGGTATGGGGGGAACCGCAGGGGTCGGAGGAAAGGGATATTGAAAATGCTCCAGAGCAGCCCTGTCCAATTGCACGGTCTGTGATGTTGGAATGTTCTAGAACTATACTGCCTTACAGTACTTTCTGGGATGATGGAATGTTCCAGAGCTGCCCTGGTCCTATAGCACACACTACGGTGATGAGATGTTTTAGAACTAGACTATCCCGTGGCACTTTCTGTGATGATGGAATGTTCTAGAACTGTGCTGTCCCATAGCACGTTCTGGGATGGTGGAATGTTCCAGAGCTTCACTGGTCCTATAGCACATTCTGTGCTGGTGAAATGTTCTAGAGCTGTGCTGTCCCATAGCACTTTCTGGGATGGTGGAATGTTCCAGAGCTTCATTGGTCCTATAGCACATTCTGTGATGGTGAAATGTTCTAGAACTGTGCTGTCCCATAGCACGTTCTGTGACGGCGGAATGTTCCAGAATTGCATGGTCCTATGTGGCAGCTCTTGGGTACGCACGGCCATTGCGCACTTGAAATGTGGTCAGGGCAATTGACGTATTGAATTTTAATTGCACATAATTTTAATTACTCAATTTCAAATGCCACACGTGACCGGCCAGTGGCCACCGCGTTGGACAGCGCAGCTCTCTCCCTTGATCTGGACGCATATATTACTTGGCTGGCCACTTGAGGGCTGGGGTTTCTGAGGCCCTGCAGACGGGACATGAGGCCGCCTGGGGTGTCAACGCCAGCACTTGCGGGAATCGGTGGAGCAAGGTGGGAGATTGGAACCCGCCACCCCCCTACCCCACCCCCACCCCCTGGTACACACGGTCCTCTCCTTGTATCCTTCCTTAGCTGCCGAGGGCCTCACAAAACTCACTGCCACCAGGTGACCAGCCACCAAGGGAAGGTGGCTCTGTGTCCTGATCAGGACACAGCTCGTTCATTTTCAACAAAAATGACTAAAATAGACATGTTTTGACCCTTTAAAGGGTCAAATTTAATGGTGATGCTAGGTGAGAGAGGATTGGCTTGAGGCCATCAAAATAGATACTGAACGAGGAACTCACCAAAACGGACACGTTCTGTTCCATTTCTGAGCTGCTGCCCCCGGTCACAAAATTCAGGATTAAGAGGAGTTTACTGAACAACGGGTCACCGCTCGGGGCTGTCCCCGCCCAGGCCCGGGCTGTTCGCAGGCACACTCCGCAGTCCTCAATCCCACCGCGTGTCAGAACCGCACGGCGCCCAGCCCTCACCCCGAAAGCGCCCGGCGCCCCCGGGCCGGGGAACGGTGGTTTCGGGAACGGGCCCAATGAGTGCTTTGCGTGGCCGGCAATCCCGTGTCGCTATTGTAACGAGTTCTGTGGGATTCTGGGACATCACCTCCAGGTCTGAATGGGGACACTGAGGCTCGCTCGAGAGGTGGAGACTCTTGGCCAGGAAGAGGCAGAAGCGGGAGAAAGAGCCGCTCTCGGGAGGTGGCCCTCCAGCGCCCTGCGGGGGTTCACTCGGCCCCCTCTGATGTGTGGGGCCCAGCACGAGAAAAAGCGCAGCCTCACGTCAAAAAGATAAAGCCCCGACGTGACCCTTGCGCGAGAAATCTCTTTCTACAACAGCCCGCAGTCGCATTCTGAGGGACGCTTCCCTCCAGAGAGGCACCTGCTGAGACCTCCCGCGGTTTCTGAACATGGCGTTGGCGGGTAACCAGGGCACCACGGGAGAGTCGTGGTTGGAGGTTGGGGTCTCTGAGTCAGAGTGGGGTGGGGGCCGTCCCTTTCCACAGGGACGTCGGGGCAGAGGAAGGCCCAGGTGTCCAGAGGGACCTCGCAAGAGGGAGAAGGGGCCACCGCGCCCGGGCTCGGTCCCGCCCGCCACGCGGTGATGTCGTGTCCCGGCCAGGATTCCAAAAGCAGGTGGGAGTGTTTCCATCCTCATCGTTCATGCGGATGTGAGTCCTTCCTCTCGGTGCAGAAGCGCCTTTGTCTCCTGGTAGGTGTTCTCTTTTGTCGGTTATTTTTAAAAGCCGGCGTTCGCCCCGAGACGCAGAGACTCTCCCGGGAGCCACACTGAGCGAGCGGGGACACATTGCACTCAAACCACAAACACCCCGACAGGAAAGACATGGATCCCAGCCCTCAAAGCAATGGTACAAAAAACAAACACAGACGCCCCCACTCCCTGTCCCGAGTGGCTGCCAGACGCGGGGGTCAAGGTCCGCGGGCTTGCGGGCCGGGCTCTCAGGGTGGCGCGATTGTGCCTGAGGTCTGTATTGTACAAACTCTGGCCCCGACTTGAAAGCCCAAAGACTCCTCCCTGTGCTTTCATGTTACTTTATCATTTTCCGCAATACAGATGTGTGAGAAGCGCCAGTTCCCGGCACACGGCGGTGCCGCCCCCCCCCCCCCTCCCCCTCCTGACCCCCAACCCGAGGCGCTCCCCCCCCCCCCCCCCCCCCCCGGGTCGCAGGCCTCAGTCCCCTCCACGCTGCCCCCCTGGGACGGACCCACTGAGAATTCTTCGGCGGGCGGCCCTGCCCACCTCCCCCACCCCGCGTCTCCCCTTCCCGGGGACCTGGACTCCCCGCTCTCCCACCCGCCTGCTGACATCTCCGCGGAAACACCAGGGCCGCGGAGGCCCCCGGAGGCCCCGGACCGCACCTGGGGTTCCCAGTTCTGTGGACGCCCGCCGTCTCCATCTCCTTCAAGGGCGCCTCCACCCGCCCCCCGCCCCCGGCACTAAGGCCAGCCTCGGGGAGCCCCTCGCAGCTCCTGCCCCCCCCCCCCCCCCCCCTGCACCCAAGGCGCCACAGGCCCCGCAGGCGGCAGCCCTAGCTCATCACGTGCTCCAGATCCGCTCTCTGTCCTCCGCGTTCCGTGCCGCTGCCCGGGCTGCCTCGCCTCCGGCTGTGCCGCCAGCCTCTCCCTGTCGCCCCTTCTGCCCAGACGCCCCCGCTCACAGTCGGTCCTCTCTTCTCTCCGCGGCGCAGGTCGTCAGCAGACCACTGACTGTGCTTCCCTCTCAACACCGGGGCTTCCTTTACACTCGGAACTGAGCACAACCTTCTCCCTGTGAGACCCGCACCCCAGGTCCCTCCCGTGTTGCCCTCTGTGTGCGGGGTTCTCTCGGCTCGCACCGCCGTCCCCGGGCCATTTGTGTGAGTCGCTCATCGTCCTCCCCTTCTTCACCTCTGCCCTGACCACGGGCCTCCCTGCAGCCTGGACAGGGCACTCCTCCCGTCTGCGGGGCTCGCGCCGGTCCGCTGGTTCCCCGCATGTCCCCCGCGAGGGTGGTGTGCCCGTGTACCCGCTGACTCGCAGCACAGAATAAACACTTGTTCTGCGGAGACCGAGCGAGGCGCCCCAACCCACGAAGCTCGGGCGCCATCTCCCAGTCAGCCGTGCGTGCTCTTGCTTCGGCGCCTTCGGGCATGCTGTTCCCTCTCTCGGGAATGCCCTTCCCTTCTGCTTCTGCTCAAAAACTTCGATCGCGGGGCTCAGCCCAAGTGCCTGCTCTGCTGTGATTCTTTCCTCAGCACCTCCCCAGAGAGCTACCCCTCTCCTGCTACCCCGTGTCCTATGGATGTGTGTGAAAGCGAGCGAGGGAGAGCATGAAGCAGTGGGAAGTAGTGGGAAGCGGCATGGAACAGCATGGAGCAGCATGGAACAGACATGGAGACGCATGGAACAGACATGGGAAAGCATGGAGCATCGTGGAACACCACAGAGCAGCTGGGAGCAGCAT